TTTCTCTGCTTCCAATAGTAAATCATCACACAACAGCAAATGATAATCTTGGCTGTCTGTACTTTTATCCTAATAACATAAATACATGGCAGACCTTATGTCTACATATTTGTTCGACATAAAAAGTTACGAACGCAAAGCGTTCGTAACTTTTTACAGAGCATTTGTATTGATTTCAGAGGTACAATGCAATTCGGCCATTTTGTTTCGATAGATTTTTGGAGATGGATCTGGGATGATGTCCAACAACAACCACCATGATAAAATAAACTGGTTAGAAGAGGAGTTGGGTTGTGATTTTTGGTAACATTCTATCTTTTTCTTTTTTTTTTTTCTGTCTTCAGAAGGGCCATGTGCAGCCTGTTAGCGTGAAGGTTGGAGAGAAGGTGCTGCTACCGGAATACGGAGGAACTAAAGTAGTTCTAGAGGAAAAGGTGAAGCACCGCTTCAGTCACAGCAGATGCTTTTGTGCTCGTCTGGGTTTAACTTCCTGTCATATATTTTGCTCCCATAGGACTATTTCCTGTTTCGCGACGGAGACATTCTCGGCAAATACGTCGACTAAGTTCTGTTGTTAGTTTGTGTGAAGTCCATCATCGCTACAGAGAAGAATTAATTTCATTCATGTCTGTTTTTCTTTTTTTTTATGTCCCGTAAATTGTAAATAATTCTAATTGCATTTTGTTACAATAATAAAGTCACTCAACTGTTAATTTATTGTATTATTTTTATGAGGGTGTGATGGGTTTTTTCCCCTCACACATTTTAAGGTTTTCAAGTTTAACACACATTCAAACGTAGAGGTAAGCTCAAATTGTTTCTGTCTGAAAGTTTCTGGAGGCGTAAGTAATATTCCTGGAATAAACTTGGCTTTATTTAAACTGGAAATATTACGGCAGATAACATCCATAACTCCCCACCTTTCTTTGACAGTGAACATTAATATATGGATTTTTCTTCCTCCTGTTGCCGCCCTTTCACTGAATAAGATGAACCTTTTCACATCTCATAAAACAAAACTTAAGTGTTAAATGTATTTTCTTATGATTTTATGTTTTGGACCAATAAAAAAATAGGACATGATGGTAAAGTGAAAAGAATTGATACTGTGCCTCTTCAGTGTTTTACTTGTTTATAGCTTCTACAAATCATTCATGATCAAAAGTTGGTATTTTTGATGGAGATTTTACAAAAATACCTTTAATGTCTTTGAAGATGGATTTCTCCAAAGCTACATTTAATAATTAACATCTAATCCTTTATTCAGAGCATGCATGAAGCAACAGTGGAGAGGAAAAACTTTAACAGGAAGAAACCAGCAGAAACTCATTAGTGGCCATCAGCAATGATTAGGTGGAGCTTAACTATGGTTTAGCTTTTCTGCAACATTATCACTGGTTTCCTCAGCAACATGGAAGACTGACATATCAGCACACATGTGATGACCAACAATCCTAATACACATCTGGAAGATTTATTACAAGAACTAAAAAGCAGGGAAACTAAAATGTTTTTTTTATGTGAAGACTTGAAATGATGTACTGTTCACTGTCTTTTAGAGATCAGATGAACGATTATAATCAGCTCTTGGGAAGATTATGTTTTGAGGGTTTTAAAATTCTGATCTAGTTAATTCAAAAACAAACAAACAAAAAAAAACTCACAGTATTTTCATTATTGAGTGACTTAAAGAATGCAGGTAGCGGATTGTGTTATTTCTAAACCCAAACTGCAAAGGATGCAAGTGGTGATCATTTTCTGAATAATTTATTAGATGCTCTGAAATAATTTATTACAAGAAGACTGGAAATAGTCTGTAGATTCTTTATTTAGGACAATTTTCATGGAGGCATTTTTCCATTTGTTCGTGTTGCACGTTTTCCACAGATAATTTAAGACGTACTGTATTCTATTATTATCCTTAACACTTAATAAATCCATTCACTTTTGCGCTCAGTTTTTAAATCTGGAGCTCCGCGTCACGCCCACTCTTGAGTGAAACGCTTCCGCTTTCCTCGTGACAACGTCGCCGCTGACGAACATCCGGGTATTCTGTCGAGATGGTCATGGCGGAGGGAGCTGCAGTTCTCAGGAGGAATCGGCCTGGAACCAAGGCTAAGGTTGGTTTCAGCTCCGGTGGAACCACATAGACCCCACACGACGAGCTGAGTTATCTCCGGAAAGCCACGCAGTTTCTTCCCGCCTCTTTCCATCGACAGCTCGGTCCAAAACATCGACTCAGAGGGGCTTGTCATCGGAATGTACAGCTAGCTGTAGTTAGCTTTTTACACCGTCTAATTGCTGGGATGAAGGGCTCTTTAAAAGAGTTCCTATTTTGCTTCTTTTGTCTTGGATTTGAATTTAGAGTCACCGCTTTATGTAAATAATGATGTATTTGCGGCAAAGTATGTTTATAGCCAGTCTCCTAAAAACACAACCGTGACTTTCATTTTACCTTTACAGGAAGTAGTCACGACCTTGTTTACGTTGTCAGGTAAACTAGCAAAGCAGCTTCAAGGAAGAGTGAAAACTCACCCGGCAACCTTTGTTCAAAACGTATTCTGTCGGCAAATGTTAACTCTTTGACATTCATCAATTTGACATTTGGCTCTAGTGGCTAGCTTAGGCGAACTAGCGCTGTGATTTATTAACTTGTGCCACAATGCTAGCTGTTAGCCCTGAGATTTGTCCTCCTTTCTCTTACAGGATTTCTACAACTGGCCGGATGAATCATTTGAGGAGATGGACAGTACGCTAGCTGTTCAACAGGTGTGTAGCTGTTGATGTGTTATCTTGGATATAAACTTTTACTGAGTAATGTAATGATATGGAGTTCAGAACAGTGTGTACTACATGAAACCTCTCAATGATTCATGAATAAAAATCATACAAGCATAGATTCATGGTAACACAAATGAACTAAAATACAAATAAACTTCAGAAATATTTCACCAAGTATTCAGATTTTGTGCTGAATGTACATGATTTGTTCTTGTCTTGGTTAAAAACAGACCCATTCGATTTTTGAGCTTGTTTAAATCTAGAACGGTTGGATTCTTGTTATATTTCTTAAGGGCGGTGCAAGTGTTGAGACTACAGCTTGTCTAAGTAGCAGAGCTAAACAAAAGCAACAAGGACTGACTTCTTTGATCCACGTCCCCTTTTTCGTTACTATATTTGTTGTCTTTTTATTTTCAGTACATCCAGCAAAACATAAGGTCCGACTGCTCCAACATTGACAAAATCCTGGAGCCTCCTGAGGGTCAGGATGAAGGCGTCTGGAAGTATGAGCACCTCAGGTAAACAAAGCGTCTGCTTTAGCCTCATGCTTAGTTGCTGTTTTGTTAAGACTGGTTTCTAAGTCTGTCCTTTTCGTGAGTTATCGTGTGATTAAAGTCACAATAACTCACACGATGACGATTATACAATGATGATTATACAAGTTTTGATTTAAAAGAAAAGAATTCAAAAGTGTTACTGACTCTCCATTTGTTTCTTAATAACCAGTACAGATAATGAATTGGCTTTGCAGCTACTGGGGGGGGGGAAATATAGGTTTTGTTGAAAAAGTTTCTTCTTGCTTATATCAAAACAACTCTGTTGTATTGTCTTAAGGCCTTCCCACCTTTTCCCCTCTTTACCTTCTGTGTCATAAAGGTTTAAATGACACATTTATGATTCTGTGTCATAAATGCATGGTAGTTAAATTATTTGCTATCAGTTACTGTAGAAAAAACACTAACTTTCCAGTATAGTGAATGTTCTGTTTTTATACAGCGAGGGTAAAACTGAATTAGAAATTTCCAAAAATTTACAGTTGTTTTTTTTATTTTTTTTATTTGTTTGTTCTGATTTGATCCTTTTTGCAGGCAGTTCTGTCTGGAACTTAATGGACTTGCTGTAAAACTGCAGGTGAGTTTTTTTTTTCTTCCCACATTTAATTTCTGTACATGTAAAGTCTGACCTTAAAAGCTTAGATTTATTTTTAAATACCTGTCGCTTTGCTTTTTCCGCACAGTTTTTAAATATTTAGTTTCTGGCTCAATGTGTTTAACAGTTTGTTAGACTTGTTGTTTTTATTTTCTCACTGCTTCATTTCATCAGGAAGAACTGTGAACCTTTTAATCAGTCCTAATGAGTGAACACTAACAAGCTGTAGACTCCCCTCAGCCATTCGACACGAGTTCAAAGACGATCTGCTGTTATTTTATGCCAGAAAGACCAAATAAATGTTTTCCACTGTGAACCATCTGTCCTCACATGTGCCGCTGGTGTTCTTGCCTGCAGAGTGAGTGCCACCCTGACACCTGCACCCAGATGACAGCCACAGAGCAGTGGATCTTCTTATGTGCCGCCCACAAGACGCCCAAAGAGGTGAGTCGTAGTGGATCATTCGTTTGACTGCATGGAGAAGTTGCTCCCATTGACAGTGTGTGTTCTGCTTGTGTGTTGCCGCCATCGCAGTGCCCTGCCATTGACTACACCAGGCACACGCTGGACGGAGCTGCCTGTCTTCTCAATAGCAACAAATATTTTCCCAGCAGGTCAGTCTGTTTACATTTTGATATATATAAAGGTGTTGTGTGTATTAAGGCCAGTGACATTACAGAAAATTCAACATTTATTTTGAGCATTTATTCTGGTTGTCCTTTGCTTCATGCTCAACCCAGAAAAACTCGACCTTAATCTCATCTGAACAAAGCACAGGGTTAAAACTGTAGACACAAGTAGTGTTTGTGGTTAAGTTTTCAGTGTCAGATTTAAACTACTGCAATAAAAGACGTTTTTGTTTTAAGGCTTTTTACCATACCTACATTCCAGTAGGTCTATGTAAAATTGAGTGCCCCCACTCAGCTCCTTCAGACTAGCCAGCAGCAATTAGCAAGCACCTGGTGGAACTGAGCACCTGCTGAACTTCTTAAAGGAGCTACTTCTCAGTGAAACGCTGGTAAAAACGTTGTCAAAGGGTTAATAGAGGAGCCATGTTGTGATGACTTCCTGAAGGAGTTTCAGAAAGAGCAGGAGCTTCTTAGAGAGACAGAGGCCCAACTTAAAGGCGTTAAATTACAAAGTCAAATTTCTCTTAAGTCGTATTTGATATATGCAGCATTTATATAACAACTGAAGGTATCATAGTTACTTAGTTGTGCTACAAAATGGCACAATGTTGCTGGAAAACACACAATGCTGCCCCTTTAAGCTTGTTTTCACACTTTTTCTACTCCAGATCTAGGAGATTTCAGAAGGAAGTTTCCTGTTAGGGGTGCACCAATAAGTCGACCCAGACTTACAGCTGCACCCCAATACTGACTTTTCAGACAAAAAAATTTGTACTGGCCAAAATCGATATTGGCAGGTCAGGATTTTTACAAACGGTGACGGGCTAGAAAACTGTAATCAGAGCACCACTACTTCCTGTAAAGTGGAGAAATGTTTTCTAGCATTTTCACCAGTCAGGAGCCTTTCCTCAGGTCATTATAAACATTTAGTTTTTCAGCCTCTGTCCCAAAGGGAAAATATTCATAGGAAATATTTTAGTGTAAAAATAATCTACTAATAAAAATATTTATCTTTCTTTGGAAAAAGTGTAAAAGTACATTGAAAATTTGCAAAGAAAAACAGTTTTTTTGACCATTGGAAGTGTGAGAAACGAGTTACTATAAAATGTGGTTCTGTGAAGCACATGGAGGTCCTCTGCTGGGTCGAGAGTTTTCCTCAAGTTCCTCTTCCTTCTCATCATGTCGACTTTGTGCTGCAGGGTGAGCATCAAGGAGTCATCAGTGGCCAAGCTGGGCTCCGTCTGTCGCCGCATCTATAGGATATTCTCTCATGCCTACTTCCATCATCGTCAGATATTCGACAAGTATGAGGTGAGTGTTAATGGCTGACCTGCTCTTGGTGACTTATTTATACGGTTGCTTTTTATACTCAGTCTGGAAGTCCTCCAAGTACTCCCGCCTAGTTTCATTTGTCAATATGTTGCATCTCATAAAGGTGGAACAGCTGATCTTAGTTCAGGTCATCTAACATGACCAATAAGATCATCTTGTTGTCAGTGAGTGTATTGTTTTTTGTTTTTTTTTTCTCAGTGGTTCCAGTACAGACAGGACTGGCTGATTGTGATCAGATCTAATACAAACTCAGACTAATAATCCCCGTCTGAAAGGATTGCCACTGATTAGGATTAGCAGTTTAAAGTCTCTGCTTTTATCCCAACACATTTTGGTCCCTGTCCAATCAAATCATGGGCTGTGTGTTAGAAAGGACACACCACTGTTACCATGGAGAGAAAATAAGATCTTAGTGAGAAACTAATGAAGAAGCCGACGTCCTGAGCATGTTTACACTAAGACAACGTAGACTTTTCTCAGAAGAAGCTTTAAAAAAAAGTTATATTCACACCTAAAAATAAAGTTAATCATGACTAATTGCAATTAATCATGATTAACTGATTATTGAAATATCGTCAACTAATTTACAAATTGATTAATTATTAAGTGGAGTATATAGACTCCAAAAAAAGGTAATTTGCTGAAAGGACAACTTATTTAGAGCAGTAATCAAGACAAACTGTACAAAAATATTGACATTTTGCACTTAAAATAATTAAAAAAAACCTTTGTCTATAAACATGTTCTACCTAAAACTCCCCAAGTGGAAGTCTTAGCTTCATCTGGTTCAAATTCTGTAAGAAAATATACACTAAATTTTCCATTAACCACTTTTTGATAATAGTTTATTAATAGAAAAATTAATCTATTTACAAATGAGCAGCCTAAAGGCATGCTGTGTTGTTGCATTTTAGGCAACACAATGCTTATTTTCTTATTTAAAAAGGGAACTGAATTATTTATTTGCATATTTTAATGTATTTCAAATATTGTTTTGAAGAAAAGCCTCAAGTGGTTAAATGAAAATCTGAAGAATTTGCCATGTTCTAATCCGATTAATCGTCCAAACAGTCAATGGAATAGATTACTAAAATAGTCGTTAGTTTCCGCCCTGTAATCAATTGACCATAATGTTGGTCACCCAACTGACCTAAAGCAAGAGATATCTAGTCTGATTTTCTGAAATTGCTTCGCTCTTTAAACCAAAGCAATTGTGTGTGTGTGTGTGTGTCCGCATGCAGAACGAGACGTTCCTGTGTCACCGGTTCACACGCTTCGTGATGAAGTACAACCTGATGTCCAAGGACAACCTGATAGTGCCCATCCTGGAGGAGGAAGTCCAGAACACCTCGTCGGCCGGCGAGAGCGAGGCCTAACGCCGCCGCCGCCGCGCACAGCTCTATATCTATACAGTACAGAGGAGGCGCACTCATTCTGCATAAATATATCTGAATATATGTATAGACACACTACAGTGTATGGAGACACTGTCCACGTTCCCCCGTCCTCCTCACTCTTCTGTCTGTATCTGAGGAAGTAAAGCTAGCAGGAGCGGGGCTCATCAGCCTGCAGGGTAACATCAACAAGGTCACTTTCTCCTCACCGTTCCCACCCACTGTGTCCATAGCAACCCCTCTTCTTCCCCCCCATCACTATATCAGGTTCTCCTTTGACTTTTGACACAAGATTTTTATGGGTTTTTACAAAACATTGAACCATATTTTCGTTTTATTTATCCCCCAGCAGCACAGTACTAGTCCTAAAGTTGTAGCTCCTGATTTTAGCCGCCTGACGCCTCCCACTGACCAGTGGCTCGCTGTGGACATGGTGGGTTTCCCTCAGTTATGACCCGCCCCCTTTTCCTCTGTATATACCCCCCACATCATGCTTCTCTTCGCCTGTGTTGCTGACCTTCCTGCTTTGGGTCGGGGTTGTCCTAATGAAACGGAAATAAATAAAAATGTAGGTGTGATGCTTGTGTGGTAGTAACCGAACCTTCACCTTTAGCTCTGTCCTGTGATCTAGCAGTGAGATGTTCCTTCTCGTCGGACTCTGATCCTGCTTTATGACGCGCACCATGCGGCTAGTATTTGTTAGCGGGAGCAGCAGAACCTGTTCTAGCCAGGTTCGAAGTGAGCGCCGGGCTGAAGGAGGGAGAGTATTGGCTACATGATGTGTCAGAGCACAACCCACTTCCTGCCTTCTTTAACTCTCTTCCTCATTAAGTTATTGTGTGGGAGGAGTCTCTTCAGTCCAACCCACTTGTTTGTTTTTTAAATAGACTAAAACTTTTGTTACTGTTGACATTTTCATGATGTCTGTTAATAAAAAAAAAGACTTATTATTCATATAATTGTGTGGAGGCTGTTTACTGATGCACCACTCGATTCAGCAAACATCACAAGGATGTTCCTGGACTGACCAAAATGTTTCTAAATGTCCCTTTAAAATGCTATTTTTGTGTGTCTCACTTTGCTGTAAACCTGGACAGAAACGACTTTAGTCAGAAGGAGACTTATCTACATTTTGAAGTTAAATATCAGTTTGGCTAAAAAGGAAAAGCAACATTTACTTGAGGGTGAAATTAGATTTTCCTTATACTATGATAGCTCTATAGTGTGTTTTCCAGCCACATTGTGCCATTTTATGGCACAATAAAGTTCCTACATTACTTTCCGTTATAAAAATGATGTATACATCAAATATGACTTGAAAAAAATTTCCCTTTGTAATTTACCTTGAAATTGGGTCTCTGTCTCTTTAAAAACTCATCTTTCTGAAACTCCGCCTTCAGGAAGTCATCACAATAAGGCTTCTCGATTAACCCTTTAACATTTTTACCAGCGTTGCTCTGAGAAGTAGCTCCTATAACAGAGGATGGGCAGATCCAGGCCTTGAGGGCCGGTCTCGTGCAACTTTTAGATGTATCTCTACTTCAACACACCTGAGTCAGTTAATGAGGTCATTAGCAGGACTCTGGAGAACCTGACTGCACTTAGGTGATTCAACTATTGGATTCAAGTGTGTTGGACCAGGGAGACATCTAAGAGTTGCAGGACACCGGCCCTCGAGGACCAGGTTTGCCCACCCCTGTCCTATTATCTCAGGAAAAGGGCAGCTCCACCAGGTGTCTGCTAATTGCTGCTGGCTAGTCTGAAGGAACTGAGAGGGGGAGTGGTAGGGAGCAGTGCTCTGCAATTTTAAAATGGTCGATTCAACAAATATGTTGCTCTACCACAACATCCCAACTCTCCTTTCTTAGTCTTACTTAGATGTAAAACTACAGAGCAGCAGCTTTAGTAAGTAACTTTTATCTACCATCAGAAGTAGAACATGAAGTTGGCAAAAAAAAAAAATCTAGATTCAGTTTACAAATTTCCCTTGAGGATAAAGTCTGTTTTTTGATAGTCTTTTGATACCTTTTAACCTTTTTTTTTCTTTTTGTTTTTCGATGAAAAAATATTTGTGCTAAAATGTGAAATGATCTTTTAACGAATCGTCCAGATCAAATGTTCAGCTGCTGCAGGTGTGACTGCATGCAGAGAGCTGCATAAACATTTGACTCTGATAGAACAGGAACAAATGCATTTTTGTCCAAGAAAAGCCTCCGGGACAGACAGAAACTAAGTGAAAGAGTGGACTGCTGCAGTTCTCCTATATGACTGACTGGAAGATTAGGGAACAGCTGGAAGCTACCATGACTTGTGTCTTGGTGACAGTGAAGAATCCTGATAAAATCATAGTGTGAAGAAGCTTGCCTGTAAAAGTTCCTGCCGCCAACAGCAGGCGGAGAAGAGGCCAACACAGTTAGAGAGAGGTGTGGGAGTTTGTCTCATGCGTTTTAATATATTATCTAATAAAAACCTTTGAAACTTGAGAAAAGCCTTTGTTCTTCAGTAAATAACAGAAATACGAAAAAAATGTAAAAAAAAAAAAACATTTAGTGTGCATTTTTTCCCAGATGGAGACAAACATCACGCATGTAGTTGACCTTCTCAATACTGCCACCTGCTGACCACAGTTGTCACTGCAAATCAGATAAGAATTAAAGATGAAGCGCGTGTATGAACACTTGTTGATAGGTGGGATTATGGTTAATCTTTGATTATAAGAAGAGTACAGAAGCCGAGAGCGGCCATTTTCTGCATATACTTTTCCCAATGTTTTTCTCAAAATAACGAGTTGTCCTTCAAATCCATTCATTGGTGACACGTTTTTGAAGAATGAAATCAGGTTTAACAGTCCAGTCATCTTGTGATATGATCCAGATTAACTTATCATGAGAAAACCATGGGGGAGAAGTACATGTGGAAAATAGACATCTTGAGAAAACCATTGGGGAGGGGGGAAAGCATATGCTGAAAACGTCCTCTCTCAACTTCCGTAACAAGAGTGCACATGTACATTATACAATAAAAGCATCAACAGTGACAGAAATTAATGTAGAAGTTCTTAAAAAAAGGGAAAAGCTGGGACACTACTGACATCTTGAGTCCGGAAGGTGACGCTATTGGTTCTTCCGATTAGTCCATTTTACTCGTTATCTCTCAAAAAAAAAAAAAAACAGCTTAAAGCGAATCACAAAAGTATTCACACCTCCTGAAACTTTTTGTTTTTGTCATGTTACGACTACAAACCTTGCAGTAATGTACTAATACAAGGTCAAGTACTGGTGTGTTTTATTGGGATATTTTTTCTCTCCACAAAGTATAACATTGTGAAATTAAAGGAAAATAATTGATTCTTTTTAAAGTTTTACACATAAAAACCGTTTAGTTCATTGATCATCCACTTGACACATGTGTTGATTTACAACATCCCAACTCTGTCCTTTTAGAAGAAAATGTACAAAGTTCCAACGGTATGAATACTTGTACAAAGTCTAACTTAGGCTTCTCATATGAAGTGTGAGCAGAGCACGAATACCTCAGCATTTCTGCAACATGAATGATTGTTTTCCAACCTTCTGCAGCTCCATTTCTCTCTAATCTTCAAGTGGATCACGAAAGCAATAGATGCATTACAGCACTGACATCTGTAAAATCCCTGCTTAAACCATAACAGTCACTTTAATGATAGAATACCTTGGATTAAAAATAATAATAAAAAATTGTTCCACTGCAGCAGTACCGTGTAAAAGTCATCTGAACAGTTATCTGTGTTCTGTAAAAAATACTGAGCAGTAAAGATGGAGATGAAATCCGATGATGAAGAAGTTCAGGTCTGAACAGTGGAGCAGCTTTCCCTTCTTTCGCCGTCGCATCAAAAATAAGTCATAAAGTGATGCAGCTCCTTGATCCTTCTTAATATTATGGCTTTAATAAAAAAAAAAAAATCAGCCCAAAAAGTGCTGAGTCAGCTTCCTTCCTGCTCACATGCAGGTGACCTCGGCCTTCCCCTCCTCCTGCTCAAAGCCCCCTTCCTCCAGGTGGGACAGGGAGCCAGAGTAACCGCCGCCGAATACCGGGAAGCCCCCAATTCCTCCGCCCGTGGCGGAGGAGAGGTCCACTGTGGGGGTGGAGCTGCTGACCGCGCGGCTAACTGAGCGACTCGACATGTCGCTGTGCGCCGAGACCGTCTGTGGAGGCGAGAGGAAGAGGAGCATCAAGAAACAACCGGAAACTGATCCACCTCGAAACTGATTCTGATCGCGAAATGACGAGTTTCACAGCGATGAGATCCACTCAAACATTAGCAGCGTTTCCATTACAAATGTTTGCAAAACTTTGCTGATATTCCACTAATGTAAAGGAAACACAATTTTGCAATTGCCAAATTCCACTAAATACAAAACACGATTAAAATGCCATGCTATACGTCGTTAAAAAACATCCCGACCCATCAACCCGCTTGCCACTTCCTGTCGTCGTCTTGTCATTTCTGCCAGTTCTAACATCAAGTTGTTGATCACATGACTCGTGTAATATGAAAAAAGTGTTTCCTGCAGTTTTGTGAAATACACTGATTTCCATATGCCCAGAAAAAAAAAATCACCTCATCTTAGCGCAAGAAATTTTTTAACCCAAAAACATGAGTCAAATTGCCATGTTCCCATTGAGCACATTTTTGTAATTCCAATTTACACAATTTTGTGGTCGATGGAAATGCAGCTAGTGTGGTAAATGCAGTAGACCTAGTTGTCATGATGATGGGTTTCTATGACAACCATTCTGTAAATCTTATTGATTATAAGCATCACTTTCACCTCCATGATGGTGCTGTGAAAAAAATATTTAACCCCTTAGTAAATTTCTGCTGCATTTACACTTACTTAAATGTTTTGTTAAATGTTTTTAAAATGTTAACATTAACATACATTTTAAAATAAATGCTACATCACTTATGGTTATATTTGCATTATCTCATACTGAGTCTTTGATGCGGGTCAACCTTTGCCCCATGTCTTCCTCCTCTTTCAAAAGCTACTTTTCTGTAGATTCACTGTTAAATAAAGATAAGTGGAGCCAAAAAAATATTTTAAAAATATTTTAGAAAATTAAATATCAATGATTGGCCAAAAAAATTGCAATCAGTGCATCCCGAGAATTAACTAAGCCAATTCACAGGCCTGTGA